AGTCAGTACAGCTTTTCCTGATAAGTTATAACCTTTCAGTTTTGATATCATTTTAGTAAGTCTTCTTCCAACATCTCCAATGCCTCTGTATCTTTTTTTATAATGTCAAGTCTGGAACTATTCACAGTGCCCCAAGTGGTGAATGGCAGTTGAATATAATTTTATTTTCTTCAATTCCATCCCTCTATAAATGAATGCCCAGTGTTTTTAAAAATTATTTTCATGGTTTTACTAGCCCAATGTCTGAGGGGCGCCTCTAGCTGCTTTGAACAGTTTTGCATTCCTCGTAGGCACTAGCTGGAGACTAACAACTCAGAGGGTTTGTCCAGGTTAATTGTTTTGGCCATGCATATAGTGAGATGGACAGGAAGAACAACTGACCCAAACATCATCTTTGTTTTTGCTAGGCAGAAAAGTGAAGATTTGAAGCTAAATGGAGGTTCCTATCACCTTAATGACAGCTCATCTGCACCAGCAGAGAGATAAATTCAATTCTGTTTTAAAACTGAATAATTACAATTAAAAATGTAGTGCCCTCAGAATATGTCCTTTCTTGAGAGCCTGTTGATAAAGGCTTTGCTTGCAGCCGCTGCATCTTTCATTGTATTCGAAACTATACCAAAGCCAGTTTAATTATATTGACGCTTTTCATTTTAGTCACTGAGCGAGTGAATATCATTTATTTCTTTTTCATCTCGAAGCTATGCACGAAATGCCCCTGTCAGTGTCAGCGGGTGGCCCTGTTTTAAATTGCAGGGCAGTAAATTTGTTTTTTAATTGACATTTCACGCAGCTCTCTCTGAAATGAAATCTGCAGTGGGTCAGCGTCGGGTGTCGAGCTCTGATAAGGACCAAGGGCTCCGTCTCTGGCAGTATCATGCTGGAGCTTTGTGCTGCTTTCCTGGGGTTATGTGCCAGCCCGTCACATTCACAGCCATGTCCTCGGGTCACACTGCTGTCTGCTAGAAGATTAGTGGAAGGAGCCCATTTCTTCCAGCAATCCATTCTGGTTTAAGGCATTTTGTCAGAAGGTCGAGAGCATTTCTCGTCTGGCGTGTGCATTCTGAATGTTGAAACAGTAGGCCATTCAACCCCTCAAGCCTACTCCATTATTCAGTCAGATCGACGCAGTAGTGCCAAAACATGGAGACTCTTCACGAGCTCTCTACAGCAGATCTTATTCTTACATATCTTAAAATCGTTCTGCTCTTTCTCATTTCGTTTCTAGGTTTGTTAAAATTAGTCCGTAACAGTGTATTCCTTGGTCTGTTCTATTACCCTCGTACACTTTGTATGGTATGATGTGCACGCAGAACAAAACTTTTCACTGTACCTAGGTACATGCAACAACAATAAATCAGATCAGAAGATTATGGCTGGACAGAACAGGAAACCCCCTTATTTCGGGTGTGACCAATGGTTATGACACGTCTAAAGAAAGGATTGTCAGTGTGTCAGAAAGCAGACTCCTTGCTCATGTTATGCACCATCTTTTCCTGTCCCACGTGATGCAAACATTCAAATCCAGTGCTACCTTTAAAGAATTTTATCCCTTTCACATGCTCTGGGATGAGCTGGGTATATGTATCCTGTGCTGGAGAAGTTGCCACAGTTGTGATAGACAGATTAGATGGATCAGAGCATCCTTTCCTGTCCCTTCTTCTTTGTTTGATTGTTGTAGTTGAGTGAATTTGTCTCTTGTGAGGCTGAAAGGCTACCTTCCACTTTCTCCCCCTCTTGAAGATGCTGGTCCTCCCTGGAGTCTGGCTGCACAAACGTACAAATTCGATACAGGAATAGGCCGCTTGGTCTCTTACATCTCCACCATTCCGTAAGATCATGGCTGAGCCAATTTACTCCTCATTCCCTTCTGCCCCCGATAACCTTTCACCCCCTTGCTGATCAGGAATTGATCTATCTATACCTTAAAAAGTATTAAATACCATGTTGCCTTTTTAGGAAGAGAGTTCCAAAGATTCACAATCCTACATGAGAAAAAAATTCTCTTTATTGCTGTCTTAATGGGGTGACCCATTATTTTTAAATAGTGGCACCTGGCTTTAGAATCTCCCACAAGTGCACACTATTTGTTACATTTTTCCAACCAGAAAATGACCCACTTTTGCCTATCTTCTGTTTCCTGTTACGAGCCAATCTTCTATCCATGCCAATATTTGCCCCCTGCACCCTAAGCTTTCATTTTCTGCAGCTGTTCTCTAGTTGGCACTTCACCCACAGTTTCATACATCACTGAACCCTGCCCTGTCACAGTCATAAAGATATGCAGCACGGAAACAGACCCTTCAGTCCAAATCATCCATGCCGACCAGATATCCTAAATTAATCTAGTCGCATTTGCCAGCATTTGGCCCATATCCCTCTAAACCGTTCCTATTCATGTACCCATCCAGATGCCTTTTAAATGTTATAATTGTGCCAGCCTCCAGCACTTCCTCTGGCAGCTCATTCCATACACGCACCACCCTCTGTGTGAAAAAGTTGCCCCTTAAGTCCCTTTTAAATCTATCCCCTTTCACCTTAACCCTATGCCCTCTAGTTTTGGACTCCCCTATCCTTAGGAAAAGACCTTGACTATTCACCCTATCCATGTCCCTCATGATTTTATAAACCTCTAAAAAGTCACCCCTCAGCCTCTGATGCTCCAGGGAAAATAGCCCCAGCCTATTCAGCCTTTCCCGATAGCTCAAACCCTCCAACCCTGGCAACATCCTCATAAATCTTTTATGAACCCTTTCAAGTTTCACAACATCCTTCCAATAGCAGGCAGACCAGAACTGCACACAGTATTCCAATAGAGGACTAACCAATGTCCTGTGCTGTCCTTCAGCTTATTGCTAAGATATTTGTATTCTGCAGCAGGAGACAGTGGAAAATGGTTAGAAGCAGAATTCCTGACTGTCTTCCCCGATCTAAAATGATGCTTAGAGTACCTCAGGCATTGCCATGGTCTGATCAGCAGTGCTGACTGAACTTGTAAAAACCGAAAGAACTGCGGATGCTGTAAATCAGGTACAAAAGCAGAAGTTGCTGGAAAAGCTCAGCAGGTCTGGCAGCAACTGTGAAGAAAAAAGGGTCACTGGACCCGAAACGTTAACTCTGACTGAACTTGTCACTTGTTGCTCAGTTTAATTTATGTCTTTCGAGTTTTTAAAATTTATTCCCAGAATTATACCATTGCTCGGTAGGCCAGCATGTATTGCTAATCTCTAATTGCCCAGAGGACAGTTAAGAGTCAACCAGTATGTCTGGAATCACAAGTAGGCCAGACTGGGTAAGGATGACAGATTTCCATCGCTAAAGGACATTAGTGAACCAGAAATTTTTTTTTTACATAACAATCAGCAGTGGTTACATGGCCACCATTAAGCTAGCTTTTTATTCCTGTTTTTTTTTAATTGAATTCAAACTTCAGCAGCTGCCCTGATAAGATTCGAACCTATGTACAACAGAACAATGGATTAGGGTTCTGGATTACTAGGCCGGTGACTGTACCTCCACATCACTGCCTCTCCTCAACGCTATTTCCTCTTAGCTGCCACTGAAGCAAAATAATGGCGATGTGCCATTCCCTAAGTGGGCTAGCAGGGTGTAATTAATATTGATCCAGGCAGTAATCCAGTCCATGTTTTGTGTTAATGCTGTCTCCTGATCTATTCCATGTGTATCTGATACGAACATAGTCCAATCAAGGTCTGCAAAGATAAACTGAGACAACAAAGCTGAGAGCTCTAAAGACTTTGCAAGTTCTGAACCATACGTGCAATTTGTAAAATGGACCCCGCGAGGATATCCTGCCTTCCAGTCATCCTGCCCTGCAATGTAAGAAAGACTACAGGCCTTCAGTTGGCATCCCAGGATAAAAATTACCCGACCATTCCACAACACTGGGAACGCAAGTTGGCCCGTGCACCTAAAAGACCGTTCTAAAATTGTGTTACTTTCTGCCGTGAACCTGCCTCAGCACCTGTGATGCTTCTCATGGTCAAGAGGCCACTCTCTGGCAGCACTGACTCGGTTCAAGACAGATGCAGGGACAACTTTTTTCCAGAGATAGTTGTGATAAAGTGTAATGTGGGAAAGACAAAAGTGTTTGAGAAAGAGTTGCATGCTCACCTGGGAAGCAGGTACATTGAGATATACGCATGGGGATATAAATTGGGATTTATGAATGAGAGCTGTTGAGGTCTGGTGAATCTGCTCCCTCTCTAATGGGTACATGGTTGCCAACAAGAATTTATGGGCAGCGCGGTGGCTCAGTGGTTAGCACTGCTGCATCACAGCACTAGAGACCCAGGTTCGATTCTGGCCTTGGGTGACTGTCTGTGTGGAGTTTATAGAATTATAGAATCCTTACAGCATGGAAGCAGGTTACTCAAGTCATCAAGTCTACACCAGCCTTCCAAAGAGCATCCCACCCAGTCCTATCCCTGTAACTCCACATTTCCTATGACTAATCCATCTACCCAGCACATCCCTGGACACCATGGGACATTTTGGCATGGTCAATCCACCGAACCTGCACATCTTTGGACTGTGGGAGGAACTGGAGCACACGGAGGAAACCCATGCAGACTCTGGGAGAATTTTGCAAATTCCGTGTCTGTGTTGGTTCCCTCCCACAGTCCAAACCTGCAGATTAGGTGGTTTGGCCAAAGTAAATTGTCCCACAGTGTGCAGGCTAGGTGGGTTAACTAGGGGAATTGTGGAGTTACAGGGGTAGGGTGGGATGCTGTTCAGAGAGTCAGCGCAGATGTGATGGGCCAAATGGCTCTCCATACAGACCAGTTGGGGAGCAGGGTAAACCTTTTCTGTCTCAATATTTCCAATACCCAAATCCTACAAAGCTGCCTTGCGCTGTGATGTCTGAGCTTGAAGCTGCAAGTCATTGAAGGGGTACAAAGTGCAAATGACATTCCTGCCTGTTTGAGTACAATGTTCAGCACTAGCTGGTGAGCACTGATAGATCATATCTTTTTCAGTTCGACCGCATTATATTCTGCGTCTTTCTGAATGTCGATTACAACCTGTACAAGCAAAAGATGCCATTCTACTTCCCATACGGTAAGACAGCTCAATCTTCTTTACATTTCACTTCTGATGTTCCTTGTTCTTGACATCTGGTTATAGGAACCATGCTGTGGGTCAAAGTCTGGATAAAGAGTTGTTGATGGGCACTGAGACATGTAAAATACCAATGGCGATGACATTGGTGGAAGATGCGATTTCTACTCAGATAATTCTCCCATACCACGCACCAGGATATACCACCGCCTCCAAATTACCTCCAGCCATGCCTGAGCTCAGACAGTGGGCAGCGGGTCACACCCTGGCCCACGGACACTGACCTTCCAGCTCAAACAATTCCAGTTCAGTTCTTCATTCAGGCAGTCACGGGCAACATGGTGGCTCAGTGGTTAGCACTGCTGCCTCACAGCGCCAGGGACCCGGGTTCAATCCCAGCCTCGGGCGACTGTTTGTGTGGAGTTTGCATGTTCTCCCTGTGTCTGTGTGGGTTTCCTCCCACAGTCCAAAGATGTGCAGGCTAGGGTGGATTGGCCGTGCTAAATTGCCCCGTAGTGTTCAGGGATGTTTAGATTAGGTGGGTTATGTGGGATGCTCTGAGGTTCGGTGTGGACTTGTTGGGTCAAAGGGCCTGTTTCCACACTGTAGGGATTCTATGGTTCTAGTATCAGTCAGTACCATTGACAGGGAAGCATCTAGCACTGGACCCCCACTCTCCTCCAATCCTACTTTTGCTCAAATCCAGCAGATAATAGACTCAACCGCCACCCCCCGTCCCATTAAAAGAGAGGGGAAAAGGGAAGCAAAGGGGGTAGGGTAGGGCAGGGCAAATTGAGGGAGGTGCAAGAGGCAGAATTGGAATGGAGTGGGGTAAGATTGGGGGGTTCAGTAGGGTGAGGGCAAGGGAGAGCAAATTGAGTGAGAGAGAGGAGGAAGCGTCAAGTGGCAATATTTGGTTAGCTCTGTGAAAGAGCTCGTATGGCCTGAACTGAAGAAATGGCCTCTTTCGAAGCGATACCATCCCAATTGAAAGGGTTAATGTTGCACAACCGTGTCTGGGCATACACAGAGAGTGGGCAAACAGGCTAGGCCATCAGCCAAGAGCAAAAAGTGGGCCAACTCTAACCAGTAAAAGATATTGTATCAATCATCTACAAATCTGGATGTAACCTCCTGTGTAATTGGTTGATCGGGTGAACACTGTGATCTAAGATGTTATAAAATACACTTGAACTGTTGCTCTGGGAGTCAGAGGAGTCTTGTTGCTCTGTCTTTTGGCTCCCCAGCATATGCCTGAATAAAAGGAGAAGAGTAAAAGTTACGTCGAGGGTACAGGCTGCATTATTCCTCCCACAGCACAATGCTATGCCTTCATAAACTGGGAGCGTTGGGAAGAAGAGATAGT